GAGCACCTTGGGATTGCCCAGGATCACCAGTCCGAACCGCGCCCTCGTCAGCGCCACGTTGAGTCGTCGTGGATCGCTCAAGAATCCGATCCCCTGGTGCTCGTTGCTGCGCACGCAGCTCAGGATAATGTAGTCCTTCTCTCGACCCTGGAAGGCATCCACGCTCGCCACCTCCACCTCCTTGTACAGCTCCTTCTTGAGCGAGCCGTGCAGCTGCATGTGGTTCACAATGTAGCTGCGCTGGCCCTCGTACGGCGTCACGATCCCAATCTGCCACGGCTCCACGCCCGCCTTGAAGAAGCGCGTCACGATCTTCTCCACATTCGACGCCTCGGTGCGGTTGAGGAACGAGGTGCCGCTGCTCGAGATCTCCTCCTGCCCCAGGTTCTGGAAGAACATCATCGGCAGCGACGGTACCGGCCAGGGGAAATCCACCTTGGCGCGCAGCCGCTCCTGCGCCGTAATGCCGTTCTGCAGCGTGCCCTCGTAGAACATGTTGGAGGGGAACTCGGACAGGCACGGATGCATGCGGTACTGGATCTCGAGTCGGATCGGTCGGTTGCCCAGCATGATGAGCCGCTCAAAGAGACTCTGGCTCAAGCCGGCGCGCGCCGCCTTCTTGTTCATAATCACCGGCCCCAGCTGCAGATGATCGCCCACAAAGACCACCTGCTTGCAGCCCATGACGAGCGGGATCATGCACTCGGGCTCGGCCGCCTGCGTCGCCTCGTCGACCAGCACGGTGCGGAAGTTGATCTTGGACAGGCGCGGATCGCCGCATCCCACGCACGTGCAGCAGATCACATCGGCGGTGCTGAGGATCTCCTTTTCGCACGCACGCGTCAGCGCCTTGTACTTGCGTTCGTCGCTGCTGCTCAGCTCGCCCTGCTCGTTTTTGAGCTGGATGAGCTTCTGCAGCTCGACGTGCGTGTCGTTGTTGGCCACCTGCTCGTGCAGCGTGAGGAAGCCGATCGGACTGTCGAGCGCCTCGCGGCTCTTGGCGGTGAGCCGCACCACCTTGAGGCCCGTCGCGTGGATCTTCTCCGTCAGCTGGTCCACCGCCACGTTCGACGGCGCACACACCAGCACGGGACCCGGATTCATCTTGCTGAGCTGGTAGACGATCGATGCACTCGTCACCGTCTTGCCAGTACCGGGCGGGCCCTGGATGAGGCTGAGCGGCTTCTTGAGCACGCTCTTCACCGCGTTCACCTGGCTGTGGTTGAGCTCGGGCAGGCCGGGCGCGCTGAAGCGCTTGGGCATGGTGGTCCGCAGCATGCCCTGGTCGATGTCGCGGCCGAGCAGCTTGTGGTAGATGGGCGCGCTCAGACTCTCCTCGTCGATGGCAAACGTCTTCATGGCGCTCTGCATGCGGTCGAACGACGTCGCCTTCCACACAAAGTCGGCGCAAAAATTGTGCGTGCAGTGGTCCGGCACACCGTCGGAGCGTTTGAGCTCGAGCGCGATCTCGTCCGAGACGTTGTTGGGGATCTTGATGACGTGGCCGACGCCCTCCCAGGGCGGCGCCATCTCGCCACGGTAGCGCAGCTTGAGCTCGTCGCCGACGGCCAGACGCACCTCTCCGCTCTCGAGCTTGGGCAGCATCATCCACGCGATGCGCTTCTGATTGAGACCCTGGTCCCAACGGACGACGAGGTCCTGCTGAGTCTGGGATTCTTTGAGCTTGCGATCGTAGTCTGCCTCGATCTTGACGAGCGGGCCAAAGATGTTCTGGTACTGGTAGGCGTCCTCGTATCGGAGCAGAATGCCGTTGGGTTCCTCGTCGACGCCAGGCTTGTCGAGGTCTTCAAGGCTGGCGTTTGCATTGTCCTTCCACACTTCCTCGAGGCGATTGATCTGCTGCAGCGTGATGGGGCGCGCGCGGAGCTGTTCGTGCTCGGTGGGCACCTTGACGAGCCAGGTGAGGAAGCAGCGGTCCTCGATGAGCGGCGACCACTGGCTGG